GCTGAATGAACCCGCGAATTGGGATTATAAGGAATAGAATTATTTTTTCATGTTGCATTGTTTGGAATGATAAAGAGAAAATGACAATAAGAAGTTGTGAGCACGACTAGAAGTATACGAAGAGTATAACTGACCAAAAACAGAGCCGGGTACAATCGTGATATTACGATCGGCTTGTTGGAAAGTGAAACACTGCGTTTCACCGATAATAATCACCTCAGCTGCAGTCTTACCAATTGAACAAGAATCTACGAGAAGTGCACCAAAGTCGAGATTTTGGAGCAATTTCAATTGAGGATATCGTTTACGGAATGTCCATATCTGGAGTTTTTTTAAATGATAACATTGTAAGTTAGACACCGCAATAGTGATATATCGAAGAAAAGTTTTAAAGAACAAAATAAGACACATTGATCACCCGCTGATCACACCTACCGTATGAATGAACGACATCGGCAATGAGATATCGGAATTTTTGAATGACTGACAGTTGCGTCCATCGTGAAAATCGAACAGTGCCATTATGTAGAGCGGATATTCTTTTGGAATTGAGAGGAAATATTTCTGAAAATTTCAATGGTACATCGACATTTGAAGGTGTTTTTCAGTGAAGATCATATCAAACAATGACGAGAATGATAAATGATCCAATTCAACGGTGCCTTTCGTGAGAGCTGAACTAATTAATAAGGTGAGATAGAATAACTATACATGACAGAATTAAAAAGATTTAATTGCCCTCGTCGTTTCACTCATCACGGACCTGGAACTTGATTCGATGTGTAAATTTTAGAATATTTTCGAGCTGAAAATTTCACTGGAACGAATAAATTAAATGAATTCACTGATTTACATTCGAATCGACTTCAGTGACTTGTTTACAAGTGCCGCAAAACGGTCGATAGGGCGCACACTGCGAACGGATTTTTAGATATTTCAAATTGTTGTTGACAACACGCGGTTTACTGCCAGTCTCGTATTCGATCACCTGGAAAGGTTTTGATATTCGGTGAGGTTGTAAGGTTTGTTGAGAGCAATGCATGCGCTTTGATGAATATATTCAACCGTTGAGCTTGTTTGTTATGAATGAATGATAAGTGAGAATTTAGTTCATCCAAATGGCTCTTAAACTCCATATCAATATTAAACGGTCTTCACCATGTGCACCATAGGAACCATATGATCGTCGTTAAATAAGAGTATGCCCTCAATGATAATACCACTAGAAATGAGCACAGAATCATCTTTGTTCCTGTAAAACTGCAATCGTTGTGAGTTCAGTTCGGCTGGATCGCTAGCACCGAACACATAGTCGAGAGATTCCAATTCATCCATTATCAGTTGATTGCATTCTGCGGTTGGGCGATCACTGAAATTCGAATAAAATTACGACTGACGGTTGATTCATCGCTCACTTAGCCACTGAAACAAACCAAATCTCTAAAAACGATATTGGAACATCAATTGATCTGCAGCTATAATGGATATACTCCACAAATTTGGTCCATTGTTTAAGCTTAAAAGTCGAGGAAAAGTAAATCGTGACGGGATTGTCTGTGAGACCGTCATTCAGATTCATAACAGTTGGGGAACTGATGCGAGTTTTGAGGTGGCTACATCCCACCCCCTCCCCCACTCTTCCGCCACGATCTATGGGTACCTGGGCTAGTCATTGGTTTAAAAAATATAAGCTACCAACCAGATCGGATCTGAAAACGTAGTGGTGATATTTTCAACGCGTGCACCAACCACGGCCAGCACATACGTTAATTTGACAGCATATTCTACTGTAGAGGCTTGTTTGTAAATCTGCGACATTTCATTCCGTTCGATATCTGCGCAGTTCATCAATCCATTATCACCTTTCATTGAACAGTTGAAAACCTGAGACATTGATCAGAAGATTCAGCTGATTACCTCGTATGATTACTAATACATCATTTGATTCGGTTATTGGCTCATAATATGTTTTGTTAGGACTTCAACGGATACATTTTAACAAGCTTCAAAGCGATACATGACTTTAAAATTCGCTATGGATTGATTTTGTCGTTCCAGAGAGCGCATCTCAGGAAATATTTATTTTAAGGAAATATTCGCCGATTAATTCTGTAGATGTGACCATGCTAATTCAATTAAATGAATAGTAACCTGTTCAACATAAGCGGTTAGCAAAGAATACGATTGATAGTTGTTTTTGAGAACACGAAGGAAATATTCTTTGAACTGAGCGAGATTTTTTGATCTCGGTTGAAGGCTGACGATCTGAAATGTGATATGAGTTCGGAGATGATAGAAATTACTTTGGACTGTGAGAAGTTGCTTTGAAATCCTCTCTTTTCAAACAATCGTCTTTGTTTATTTGGTTACTGATGGATGCACTTCTACAAGCACAGTTGGACATCTCAACGTGAGCAGCAGCCCATAATGGAATTTTAAGTTGATACCTTGGCTTTGGAACCTCGTCGAAGAATTTCGAGTTGCTCTTGTGCGTTGAGACCGTCACCGTTGACAGATATGGTGACCCACATTTTGTTTGACGCTAACAACTTTTCATCAGTGAAAACCTCGAAGAACTGAAATATTCAAAGTTGATTTTCTTACTTACAATTAGGAAAGACCATACTTAGGAAATGTTTCTCAAATAACATTTTTAGCTAATTAAAAATTGCTTTAATATGCCCATTCTATTAGACAATATGCTTAACCTGTTCTTTCTCGATGTATGACAAAATGATTTGACTATCACTGTCTGCGATCACTTCAGCCAATACTGGATGATCGTATGGGATCACTTCGGCCACATGAATTCCAGCACGCTCCAACTGCTTCACTATTCTCGCGACTGACTTCGGATGTTCACTGTTCTCAACAATCGTCACCAAATTACTGCGCAGATTCGTCATTAACTTGATGAAAACCTTAAAGAGCATTATTCAAGTCAATGCAGCATTTTGCAGTCGCAATGCGTGCGAGTCACCCCGCAAAAACGGTCACACGATGATTTTCGAAGTCGAAAAGTCAGTTGATCAACGATAATGAAGAGTAAAATCAATTGCTATTGGAATTTAACTAACATCTACATAAACCGATAGAGTTGGCGCAGTAGTGAACATGTTCTCAACGTCAACCTCGACAAGCCCATCTGCTGATGGAGTACTATAAGCAGCAACTGGCAACAAGTTTGTCCTTACGAAGATGCCCAATGCTTCAGCCGATTCACGATCTTTTGGTGAGATAAGACCTGAAGTAATTTGTGCTTGCATTTATTAAACGTGTTCCCGATCCCTGAATTATTGAGGGTTTGCTGGTCAATCCATATTG